ATTTCCCCCCCCCCCCCCCCCCAAAAAAAACAAAAAAAAAAAAAAAAAAAAAAAAACAAAATAAAACACTAAACACCTAATTAGAGACAATAAAGAGGAACCTGGGAAACATAAAAAGTTTAATAATTTTTTGGGTGGGAGGGGGGGGGGGGGTTGGGGGAGATACTAAAATTAAAATTAGCAGCTCAGCTGCAAACACACAAAGTTGAAGACTTAAGTCCGGGTCCGTATAAAATAACTATGGAAAATACACATTACCCAACATTTCAAAGCAATTTCTGCACTGTTACACAAAAATTTAGAAGGCACATTGCAATATCCATGAGTGTATGAAATGCTAGAAATTAGACAGAACGCAAACACAGCTGCATGAAGGTAAGAAGCCACTTTGAAATGTCACACGATAATCACATGTTCTCATTTGTCATATGATCATGACATTTTAATATCAGTATAAAAATCAATGCTTTTATGATAGATCTAGTTGCTTTAACCCGCTTTCGGGCGGGTTAAGGTCTGACCTCGTGTGGAAAGATTCTTGCCCAGCACCACTTACTCGAGTGGAGTTACAAGGGATTTTGCCTCTTCGTGGCGTGCCCGACCAGTAGGGAGGAGGTTCCTTCCGAAGCTAAAAAATCCCAGTCAGATGCATGAAACTCCCAACGCAACAGGAGCGACCGCTACTATGTTTACTGTATTGCCGATGGATATGAAGCTTGGACACCACAACCTAGCTGAGGATTAGAGACATGCAGCCTTGAGAAAGCCGCTTCCTAGGCAACCACGTCCCAACTTCGTCCCGACCGGAAAACTCCCTGATCGGTGGGTGGGGTAACGAAACACCTTAACCCGGAGAGGAAGTAAAGCCGAACTTACCCCTGTTTTTCTGCTTGCAAGAGTTTTGCCTCTACGCGGCGCAGGAGACTAGTAGGGTAGACCTGACTACCTGAAGCCAAAAAACTCACGCCTTTGCGTCTATCTCCCAAGGTGAAGGGGGGAGGTTACTTGTAACTTCCATCCGGGAGAAGGTAAGAGAATACAGCCTAGTTATTATTCTTTAATATGGCTAGTAATTTACACATGACTCAAACTGAGGGGCACTCGAATCCCCTCCTCCCCTGCAGATCGGTGACGGGGCTCAGG